TGTTTGTGTGGTTGAGAGATGAGCTGGGGGTCAGTCTGGTGGGTGGAAAACAGTCAAACTGTGATGCTGTCATGTGCTAACAGGTGCACACACTGGCACGCAGACATTTAAGAAAGTCTTTATGTGATTTTTTTTTAAAACAGTTTACACACATTTAAAATAGATTTAAATATTGTTTTAATAGCATTTTCTTTAAACTGTCAGACTGGTCATGGTGGCGGTGTTGCAACAATATATAATGATATTCTCAATGTTACTCAGAAGACAGGATACAGGTTTAACTCATTCGAAATACTAATGCTTAATGTTACACTGTCAGATATGCAAAAGAAATCTATCGTATCTCTTGCTCTGGCTACTGTGTATAGACCACCAGGGCCGTATACAGATTTCCTAAAAGAATTTGCAGATTTCCTCTCAGACCTATTGGTTACTGTTGATAAAGCGCTAATTGTCGGAGATTTTAACATTCACGTTGATAATACAAATGATGCATTAGGACTTGCGTTTACTGACCTAATAAACTCTTTTGGAGTCAAGCACTGATTTATCTGATTTATCTCAACTGCTCTGTGTACCCATAAGTACACATGAACTAGACGAAATGACTAGCACTATCTTCTCATGGGCACTATCTTCTCTAATACATTAGAAGCTGTTGCGTTAAAAGCGCTATATAAATAAAGGTGACTTGACTTGACTTAAATTGTCATGAGTATATTCATAATGGTCAGGCTATACTGCTGCTGCTCACAAAGTACTACATTTTTGTGAAATGTGTGCATAGTTAATAATAGTTTTAATAATTTGTACAACTATGTTTTGGTGTGTATATTTACAGCTTTGTAATTTGGACCGCTCAAGTTCCCCTCAGCACGTCTCATTCTCCACTGAACAGCTTCTTCCTGTCAGGGTCTGTATAGGAAATGATATCATTCACAACCCCTGCCATTTGAGAAAGGGCCTGCTTATATCTTCATCAGTGTTCGAACTATACCGTGGACTTTGGGGGAGCCCACTTGTTTTAAAACTGAAATTGCATGTCAAAATAACACATTGTCAATATTTTTGAGACCCCCCAAAATTTCACAAATCCTGTTTTCAGGGGAGCCCATGTCTTATTAAGGGGAGCCGAGCTCCCCCTAGCTCCCCTGTAGTTCACACCCTGATCTTCATGATAACAAATATAAACAGATCTAAATTAAAGTTCTTAGAACTTTCAAATGCATTCGATCTTTACAACTTTTATCGCATTGAAAATACTGATAATTGCAGAGCTCACATAGACTTTAAATGTAAGGCATTAGTAATAGTGTTTCAATATTAGAGTCTTGGTGATCATATGGCTTTTAAACATTAGAGTAGGCTACAATATTTGACTGTGTGCCACTATTGGACTATCTAGTAGCAGAATACACAACATCTGTATCCTCTGTATTTCTGGCTGCTCTTCTGGATTTGTGTTTTGAGAATTGTAGAGTGGCATACACCGACAAATGAGGCTCCTGCAACAGATTGAAAGATGACTTTAATGGCATTTTAATTCATTTTATTTAATTCATTTTAATTTGACATTTTAACTAATTTAATTCAAATATGTACAGAAGAAAATCATATAAGCAAAACTGTGAACACACACACACACACAAACACCATGTATCCAAATACATTATCTGGTGTTAGAATCATAATTAATTGCTAATTCTGATGTTGGGGACAGTCAGGAAATAGTCGAGAAATTTGATTTTATTCCAAGCTTTACTTTATCAATTTTTTGCCTTATTTTTACTTATAAAAATTAACCATATTCTCACAAAAAGATTTCAACCATGCTGTCCTTTTTAAAGACATGGTTAGAGCTAAACAGAAAAGAGAAGCAGGACCGCAGGCTGTATGAAAAAACAATCTCAAAAGAATTTTCGACATAAAAATAATATCGAAAAACACTGATATTAGAAAAGTTATTTTACAGTTTATGGCCATTGTCATTAGAACTCCTTTCAATAGCCGAGACTTGCGTATTTATAATCTTTCTGTACTCCTGTCGACTGTCTTTAATTTCAACTGTACAAAAATTTTTATCAATAAATGTTGCAGATCTTATGAAGAAAGAAAAAAAAAACTTGAATTTTTGGTTAAGAATTCAAAAGTATTTATTCCACATTCAGAGAATGGACATTTTTATTATAACAATTAGCTTACCTCATGATGTTGTGTTTTGTGGCAATCAGCATCTGCGGCAACAGAAACGGAAACTAAAAAAAAAGATATGGCCTATAGTATTTATTATTTACAATTATTTCACGGCACAGTTATTTGCAAATTATATCCATATACAGCAATGTAAGTAAATCTTTTGAACTGAATAGATGCACTGTTACCTTTTCCCTGCGTGTTTCTGTCCTGTCTCTTAATGATGAGCGTGGTGAGCAGAATGATGATGAGAATAAAAATAATACCACCAAAAATAAAGGTCAGCTTATAACAGATATTTTCAGAACAGTCTCTTGTAATCGTACTCTTTTTCAGATCTGTTAAAAAGTAAATCACATTTTACTGTAACACAACACCATCTAGATAAAAGCATTATTGTATATGAATATTACAAGCATTAAAGTAAAGGCAGATGATAAACACCTTTATTTGTCATTTCTGTTTCATTTTGTAGTGGTGTATCACTCCTCTCTGCGTAATAAATGAAGATTTGAAATGTATGAGTAATTTAGAAAATCCACACAGCATCACAGAAGCATTTTGGAAATCATAAGGTTGAATAAGGTTTTTAATAAGGATAAGCTGTTTTACAAAAGTGCTGTTGAAAAAAAAAGTATTACCTTTAATGTCTAGCTGTGCTCCATAACCAAATGTCATCACCCAGTTTTGCCAACCACAGTAGTACAGACCAGAATCTGAAATTTCCACATTTGAAATTCTTAGGGATGAGTTTTTGCTGTTCAGAGACATCACAAGACGATCTGGTTGAAAACCATTTAAATATGTTGCCTTTACTTCAAGCTCATAGGGTAACATCATGTATACAATGCTAAGAGGAACAGCACAGTGTTTTTGCTTGAACCAGTGTATGTACTTTCCAATATTTGAGGTGTGTTTACACCAAATAGTCACATTATCTCCTGGCTGAGCTGTGATATTTGTTGACTGAGATGTTTTAGCTGTGAGAAAACCTAAATCCAACAGAAGAATAACAAATAATTTTACAGCATATTAATATTTAGAACACTGATAACACAAGAAATGCTGTGTATAGAACACACCTAATCAATTGAATAAATCATTCATTAATCTTGCATGATTGAAGTAATTATAGTGCCGTAATGCTTACCCGTGCCACAGATCACCAGTGCTGAAATTATTATATGTACCATTGCAGTACTGAATCAGACTAGAACCAACAAGGAAATTAAGATGAGGAAATCAATGTGCTTTTTTTTATGTGAGGGTGTGTGGCTTATGCTTACATCAAACTATGACAGACCTGTCAATCAACAGGCGAGTACATGGCTATACTAGTTCAAAATAAGAAGATTCATTGTTGATCAGATATATTGATAATAATGTGATGGTTTATTTACTGCTTTAGCACACCATAGTTTCCCCATAGCACTTTTGAGAAGACATTGTTCCAAAGCAGCTTTACAAAGAACTAAAATGCATGTTTGACCTGAATGTATCTTTGAACGTGTCTTTTACGGATCATTCCTGAATTATATTATTGACATACATTCTACCTGGGCCACAAATTGTTAAACTTGATTTTATCCTGATTTGAATTCTCTGAAGGCACAGGGTTGAATGGATTTACGGGGTTTAACCGTTTGATTTAAAGAGTATTAAAGTGACTGAGCAGAACTATTTAGTCTTGAGCGAGCAAACTTAAAACACTACAGTCTATAACTGATCAAAACTGGTATTTGGGACAATGAGATTCATGAGTAACGGCTAGCTGGACACTTTAACCCACATCCAAATTGATAGTCACATTATCTCCTGGCTGAGCTGTGATATTTGTTGACTGAGATGTTTTAGCTGTGAGAAAACCTAAATCCAACAGAAGAATAACAAATAATTTTACAGCATATTAATATTTAGAACACTGATAACACAAGAAATGCTGTGTATAGAACACACCTAATCAATTGAATAAATCATTCATTAATCTTGCATGATTGAAGTAATTATAGTGCCGTAATGCTTACCCATGCCACAGATCACCAGTGCTGAAATTATTATATGTACCATTGCAGTACTGAATCAGACTAGAACCAACAAGGAAATTAAGATGAGGAAATCAATGTGCTTTTTTTTATGTGAGGGTGTGTGGCTTATGCTTACATCAAACTATGACAGACCTGTCAATCAACAGGCGAGTACATGGCTATACTAGTTCAAAATAAGAAGATTCATTGTTGATCAGATATATTGATAATAATGTGATGGTTTATTTACTGCTTTAGCACACCATAGTTTCCCCATAGCACTTTTGAGAATACATTGTTCCAAAGCAGCTTTACAAAGAACTAAAATGCATGTTTGACCTGAATGTATCTTTGAACGTGTCTTTTACGGATCATTCCTGAATTATATTATTGACATACATTCTACCTGGGCCACAAATTGTTAAACTTGATTTTATCCTGTTTTGAATTCTCTGAAGGCACAGGGTTGAATGGATTTACGGGGTTTAACCGTTTGATTTAAAGAGTATGAAAGTGACTGAGCAGAACTATTTAGTCTTGAGCGAGCAAACTTAAAACACTACAGTCTATAACTGATCAAAACTGGTATTTGGGACAATGAGATTCATGAGTAACGGCTAGCTGGACACTTTAATCCACATCCAAATTGAGATGCAACCTAAAAGACTGATATTTTATTGGAATCTAAATTCAAGGACTTTGTGAACTAGAGTCAATTAAATTAATATCAGGAATCAAGCTAAACTGCAACACAATTTTAATAAACTTGACCATTATACAGTTATGCAAAGGAAAGACAGATCTCTGATCTCCTCAGTAATTACATTTCTTAAAACAGTACTATCTAGCTGTTAAAAATAAACCACAGATAATAAATTAATAATATGTTTGAGTAAGTTGTTTCAAGTAGTGTCCGTGTACACAGCAGTTGTATCCTCAGTATGTCGTCCTGCTGTTTTGAGTCTCTTGTTTGAGAAATACACAGCAGCATATTCTACTGAATCATTTTCCTGCAAAGAAGTACAAACATGTACGTCAAGATTCTAATCAAAGTGATCAAATGTCTTGGATTTTATGCTAGAGCATTTGGATACATTTTCCGTTCCCTTAGCCTCCAAAATAAATTCTACAGCAAAAAGTAGAAAATGCAACTATGCATGTCCTTAATAGCCAACAGAATTAGAAATAATATTGTTCATGCGGCAACAGAAACGGAAACTAAAAAAAAAGATATGGCCTATAGTATTTATTATTTACAATTATTTCACGGCACAGTTATTTGCAAATTATATCCATATACAGCAATGTAAGTAAATCTTTTGAACTGAATAGATGCACTGTTACCTTTTCCCTGCGTGTTTCTGTCCTGTCTCTTAATGATGAGCGTGGTGAGCAGAATGATGATGAGAATAAAAATAATACCACCAAAAATAAAGGTCAGCTTATAACAGATATTTTCAGAACAGTCTCTTGTAATCGTACTCTTTTTCAGATCTGTTAAAAAGTAAATCACATTTTACTGTAACACAACACCATCTAGATAAAAGCATTATTGTATATGAATATTACAAGCATTAAAGTAAAGGCAGATGATAAACACCTTTATTTGTCATTTCTGTTTCATTTTGTAGTGGTGTATCACTCCTCTCTGCGTAATAAATGAAGATTTGAAATGTATGAGTAATTTAGAAAATCCACACAGCATCACAGAAGCATTTTGGAAATCATAAGGTTGAATAAGGTTTTTAATAAGGATAAGCTGTTTTACAAAAGTGCTGTTGAAAAAAAAAGTATTACCTTTAATGTCTAGCTGTGCTCCATAACCAAATGTCATCACCCAGTTTTGCCAACCACAGTAGTACAGACCAGAATCTGAAATTTCCACATTTGAAATTCTTAGGGATGAGTTTTTGCTGTTCAGAGACATCACAAGACGATCTGGTTGAAAACCATTTAAATATGTTGCCTTTACTTCAAGCTCATAGGGTAACATCATGTATACAATGCTAAGAGGAACAGCACAGTGTTTTTGCTTGAACCAGTGTATGTACTTTCCAATATTTGAGGTGTGTTTACACCAAATAGTCACATTATCTCCTGGCTGAGCTGTGATATTTGTTGACTGAGATGTTTTAGCTGTGAGAAAACCTAAATCCAACAGAAGAATAACAAATAATTTTACAGCATATTAATATTTAGAACACTGATAACACAAGAAATGCTGTGTATAGAACACACCTAATCAATTGAATAAATCATTCATTAATCTTGCATGATTGAAGTAATTATAGTGCCGTAATGCTTACCCGTGACACAGATCACCAGTGCTGAAATTATTATATGTACCATTGCAGTACTGAATCAGACTAGAACCAACAAGGAAATTAAGATGAGGAAATCAATGTGCTTTTTTTTTATGTGAGGGGGTGTGGCTTATGCTTACATCAAACTATGACAGACCTGTCAATCAACAGGCGAGTACATGGCTATACTAGTTCAAAATAAGAAGATTCATTGTTGATCAGATATATTGATAATAATGTGATGGTTTATTTACTGCTTTAGCACACCATAGTTTCCCCATAGCACTTTTGAGAATACATTGTTCCAAAGCAGCTTTACAAAGAACTAAAATGCATGTTTGACCTGAATGTATCTTTGAACGTGTCTTTTACGGATCATTCCTGAATTATATTATTGACATACATTCTACCTGGGCCACAAATTGTTAAACTTGATTTTATCCTGTTTTGAATTCTCTGAAGGCACAGGGTTGAATGGATTTACGGGGTTTAACCGTTTGATTTAAAGAGTATTAAAGTGACTGAGCAGAACTATTTAGTCTTGAGCGAGCAAACTTAAAACACTACAGTCAATAACTGATCAAAACTGGTATTTGGGACAATGAGATTCATGAGTAACGGCTAGCTGGACACTTTAATCCACATCCAAATTGAGATGCAACCTAAAAGACTGATATTTTATTGGAATCTAAATTCAAGGACTTTGTGAACTAGAGTCAATTAAATTAATATCAGGAATCAAGCTAAACTGCAACACAATTTTAATAAACTTGACCATTATACAGTTATGCAAAGGAAAGACAGATCTCTGATCTCCTCAGTAATTACATTTCTTAAAACAGTACTATCTAGCTGTTAAAAATAAACCACAGATAATAAATTAATAATATGTTTGAGTAACCCCACACACACACACGCACACGCTATACAAAAATATCATTATTCTTTTAATGTGTTGTTCAAAAAACTCATTGCAATTAATCACTCATAGAAGAGGCACAGCAGTAAGTCATTTATAAAGTAATTAAATATTTTGCTCTTTACAATAAAACAAAGAAAGTGTGATCTGGTAGAAAACAAAGCTTTGCTTGTTTTTTATGTCTATGGTTTTACTTAGCCTTTAGAGTAACATAAGTCTGTTGAGTTTACCTTGCCGTCATGCTGTTGTGCTTGACATTCAGCAACTGGCACAAAGCAGAGAAAAAGACAATCAGTTACTCTTAATCAGAGAATTAAAAATAATTTCAAAGCCATTTTAGAATGTTCATTCCACATTTGTGGTTTAACTATATATTTTTAACCATGTTTAAAGAGTTTACCTTTTTTATGCTTCTGCTTCCTGTGTTCCCTGATAATCGCCAAAATAAGAGGAACAATACATGTAAAAAAAATTATTCCACCAAATAGGAGTGTCAGTTTGAAATAGATACTTGTAGAACACTCCTCGGTAGACACGGATGATTGCTCATGATCTGTAAAGGAGTGGATATAATTTCAATGAAACTTTTTAAGCGGTTCCACAAAGAACACATTATAGAATTATTTTCCCCCATAATTTGATTAGAGAGATTAAACAAGAATATTAATATATTAAAAAACATGTGGTTTTAACTTTAATATTGAGATAAAAAAAAAAAACTTACCCTTTTTTAAGGTTCCTGTGTAATTTTTCTCTGATATGAAAACAGTTGGCCAGGATAAGTCATTTACCATTGTGGCATTTACAAAGGTATTTAAATTGTGGTGTTTTTCAACATGTGCTATTAATGACAAAGTGAGAAAAAAGAGCTATAAACAGTATAAAAATTAGAGTACAGTGAGAGAACTTCAAAAAGATTACCTTTCACTTGAAGCCTTGTTCCATTGCCAAATTTCATGTGATATCCTGTAGCTCCACAAAAGTAGAAGCCAGAATCAGACATTTTCACTTGCTTAATTGTTAGGCCGGTGCTTTTGCTGAACTGATCCATGACCATGTGGTCTTTTGTGAAATTGTTGAAATAATTTGGCTCAAACTTCTGAAGACTTTCGGTGTATAACATGTCCACAATAGTAATGGGTACAGCACCGTCTGTTTGTTTGAACCAGTACAGATATCCAGAAACATGAATATTGTGTGAACACCACATAGTGACACTTTGTCCTGGATGAGCCTGTATACTTGCTATCGAAAACATAACTTGGAGAAAACCTGAAATTAAACAAGAAAAGTAAAACCATAGCACACCACAAAACATTATTTCCTGTTAAAATGTGACCACATTTTAATCTGTCTTCCCATTTTAAACTCTACAAAGATTTTATTACATGTCTCTAATGATAGAATTGTAGTTTATAGTAAAAAAAATAAAAAAAAATAAAAATCTTACCCATCCCAAAGAGCAATAAAACTGTAGCTGAAATATGTAACATTTCTGCACTGAGTCAAAACAGAGCTGAAGAGGAAATTAAGTGGGCGATATTGATGTGTTTTATATATAAGGAGGAGTGGCATTGGCACAGCTAAACTATGGTAGACCTATCAATGAAAAGGCCAGTCAGGTTCAGACCCATATGTGATATAGCTGCAAAAAAAAAAAAAAAAAAAAACTCTCTACAAAGAGCATAATCAAATACAAAATATGCTGTGATGATGGCCACATTACACTATACTGTTTAGTTGGTGTTGTTTTTTTTCAGTGCTCTGAAAATGCTATTTTCCGAATGAATTAGATTAGTAAATGGAAACGTTATGTGATATATCTTGAAATTACTAACATATATTAACAATATTAGTACAACTAAATTTGTCATTTTTTTTCAAAAACCTGAAAAAAAAAAAAAAAAAAAAACTCTCTACAAAGAGCATAATCAAATACAAAATATGCTGTGATGATGGCCACATTACACTATACTGTTTAGTTGGTGTTGTTTTTTTTCAGTGCTCTGAAAATGCTATTTTCCGAATGAATTAGATTAGTAAATGGAAACGTTATGTGATATATCTTGAAATTACTAACATATATTAACAATATTAGTACAACTAAATTTGTCATTTTTTTTCTTGTGAATGATACCTCTGCATTTTCTGGTATATATTTATTTATACATATCTGTTTATCTACAATTTGTGCTTTGTCATCTGTTATATATATATATACAGTCTGTGTGTGTGTGTGTGTGTATATATATATATATATATATATATTGCATCTAACTGAGATTAGTGATTTTTTTAAAATACACATTTGCTTAGAGCAACCTACTGTATATCTTCTAAAACAGGTTGCACATCTGCTGGACTATATATAATGTTACACTTTTAATGATGTGCATTGGACCTATCCTAAGCATGTACAAGGCTTCTAATACACTTTGTAAGTCAAGTGAAGTATGCAGTACATATTTATTAATTTACACTGTATTAAATCTTTCTCATATGCAGATTAAAGTTAAAATATCTAATTAGCAAATTTGAGTAATTGCCATCCTTCACTACAGCCCTCTAGTGGTTTTCAAAATCATAGCCAACCCTACTTTTGTCTACAAAACACTTGGCTGGATGTATAGGTTACGGGGTGATGACATGAAGTCTTGACATCACAAATGTTTGTTATAATTATAAGTGTATGTCATTAATAGGTTTCTTAATTTTATTCTCAATTTTATTTGTACTTTTCTTAAGGAGTTTTGTGCAACTGGGCACTAATTAATAAAACTGGGCACTAATTAAAAAAAATAATTCGTCTTTCATAATTCGTCTTAAATTTTTAATATGTATATTTACAATCATTAAAAAAAGCAACAGAAACAAAAATCCTCAATTTAGAAATATGTTGCCATCAGAAGAGACATGAAGCCACTATTCGTTTAAAACAAGAAACTGGAGTTTAAACTTTTTAGGACATACAGACCACATGATCATATTATATAGCCTTTCACAGTTTGTACTGAAGCTGATGTGATGTGTGCCTGTGAAGCCACAAGGCTACAGGTCTTGAGCATGTCATTGTGATTTTGTTGTGGTCATCACAGATTTCAGTTCAGTCCATCCTTTGTTAATCTTTTAATGTAGCCTATTAAAAAGGTTCTTGATTAATATCAGGCTCATCTGACGAGAGAGATTTTAGACACATTTACACTGTCTGCTGTCTTCACTAAAAAATAAGACTGCAATTTTGATGACTGCACAGTTTTGTGATCACATTTGATTTCCCTTCATCTGCTATGCAGTCAAGAAACACTTACTTAGAACTTAAGAAGGTCAAGTTACCACATGACCAGCAGAAAACCACAACTAGCACACTGCCTTTATGTCTTTATGTTATAGAAATAATTTTCTCTAAACATACTTCTTTTAAAAATGGCATATATAAAGGTATTTACTGCTGGTGGCTGCTGGTGTTACTCATGCAGTTATTTGCCTGAGAATTTAAAAGTAGATTATGAAATCATCTCTGAAAGAAAAGATCAGTGGGAAAAAAATCTGGCACAGCACTTTTTGACATAAACACATCCTTCGGGTTGCTCATCTCCTTCATTGCATCTCTGGTGATGCTCGTTTTGTCATTGCTCACCTGTTTCTTACTAGTTTAGGATAAATCTGTCAGGAATATGATCAACTTTGGATATTTGCTTCTCTTTCTCATCGGTGAGTTGAACTGTCTTTTGTGTCAGAACTAAACTATATTTACATTAATTTAAGCTAACATTTTACTTGTTACTTTTAATGTTTTTGTTTAGGCCTTACTGCATCGCACCTGAATAATCCACCTGTGTTTGCCAAACCGGGAGAAACTATTAATATGTCGTGCTTTTACCAGAGCCAAATGGCTATGCACTTCTCATGGTACAAGCATGAACTTGGAAAGAACCCCAGGCTCATCTCCACCATATACAAGTATGACAACAAAGCCCGGTTTTACCATAATTTCGAGAATAGTTCACGCTTCTTTGTGCAGAATGACAAGGGTGTGCATCGTTTGGTGATAAGAAACATACAGCTCTCAGACTCTGCAACATACTACTGTGGAAGCGCTTATTCCAATGTAATGGAATTTGTCGAAGGGACAGAGTTGATAGTTGAAGGTAATTATATATTTTTGTTTTAAATAATTTTGAGTTACATCAAGCAATGCAGTAGAAAACCACGTTGGGTTCCCACCAGAACCTTTCAGTGAACAGTTCTTAAACAATTATAAAAAATGATAAAGAACCTGTTGTGGAATGAAAAAGTCCTTTGGATATTAAAGGTTCTTCATGGAACCATCGATGCCAATAAAGAACCTTATTTAAAGAGTGTGTATAAAGTGAACCTATATAGTGGTAGTGAAGTTATTACCTAAATGCTAACTTTTTAAAACAAAGTACAATATTTGAATGCAGGGTCCATAACATCTTTCACAAAACTCACTCAATAATTACATTTCCATACAGGGGTGAAAAGCGACACTGTTGTCAAACAACCTGCATTAATTCCATCACATCATGGAGATTCAGTGAGTCTTACCTGCACAGTTTTAAATCAGAACTGTGTGGGAAACAACAGTGTGTACTGGATCATACAGGAATCAGAAGAATCTCGCTCAAGATTCATTGGCGCACATGGGACAAGTATTGGTCGGTGTGAGTGGAGCTCTGAAGCTGGTTTTAGAGCACGTCGATGTGTCTACAGCTTTTCTAAGAAAGACCTCAAACTTTCTGATTCTGAGACTTACAACTGCACTGTCGCTGCATGTGGGGAGATACTGTTTTGGAATGGCACCAAACTGGACATTATAGGTATGTTCTTAAAGAAGTAACTGGTAAAAAAAATAATAAAGTAGCACTTTTATGGTGTGCTAACATTATATCCACCATTTTGACTTTTTCAGGTGCTGATTCAGCAGAACAGATGATGACTTTTGTAATTCTTTCCATTGTTAGAACATTCCTTCTTTTAATTACCATTGCCTCAATTACTTTTTGGTACTGCATGAATTCAAAAAGAAATTCAAAAGATGGGTGTTCTCCACCTGCCATTACTCTCTGAGATAGACGATCCTGACCAGAAGGAAGACCAGGTCTTTTGACGAAATCTGCTTCTGATCATCTATAATATGTAACATATCACCTCAAATTCATGTATGATATGGAATAAGCAAAGACATAATCTGAAACTTTTAACTTTTGTTTCATGTAACAATGTTCTATCATATGAAAGCCCGTTTCTGCCACTGAATAAAGAATAAAACAAGGTAATTGCGACTTTTTATCTCACAATTCTGACTTTTTTTCTCAGAATTGTGAGACATAAACTCGTAATTCTGACTTTTTTTTCTCGGAATTCTGAGAAATAAAATCAGAATTGTGAGATAAAAAGTCGCAATTACCTTGTTTTATTTTTTATTTAGTGGCGGAAATGGGCTTCCATACTATCATGACTGTCCAGTATGAATAAACTGTGCAGTGTCAAACCATGTTTATTTCTGGTTCATGGGAGAAGTACATGACTACCATGGCATATACATTTTTCAAACATGTTCTCATGTCTTGCAAATTAATTAAATAAAATTAAATGTCTGAATTATGCAGAAATGAGAACTGCTTACTCATTCAACAGAGATTAAAATGTTCTTAATTCATACATTTATTCCATAACAGATAACAGATTGTATAGATGTTCTTCAGGACACACACAAGCAAGTTTTATAAATGCATTAAACCAATGATTAAACAGATGTTTGACAATAAAAAATAAACACAGTAATAACACAAATGACAAGGGTATTTACAGGCACAGAAAAGGTTGAATGGTTAGCATGGTAGTTTGTATTGAACATTCTGGTAAGGAACAATTATGTGGGCATCTGATTTAGTGAATTTCCAAGCAAAACCTATTAGAGGAAGTAGAAACAGCCATGAGAATATATATATGCATTACCTTTACATGCAAATAATGTAAAAGTGTTTAGAAGATGCAGCAGGCCTATAAATTTCACAAGCAAATAATTCATTCGTTTATTATTGCATAAACATACAAAATATGGCTGTAAAGCAAAAAGATCCAAATGTAACAGAATGTACAGTACTTAACCCAGAACAGCTATTTAGGGTAATTGCCATTTGTTAGTTTTGAACATCCAATTTCATCCAACTCAACAAATGAGTGCAGATGTAGTATAGAAACAAACTAGCAATAGTTGTTCTGGGAAAGTGTTTTACATAAGATTTACTTATAAGACAATTAGACAACATAGACTTACTTGGACAGAGGAGGATGTCTCAATTCAGTGAACTTTCAGTATAGAAGTGAAAGAAACTGTGATTAGACAACTATCAATAAAACACATAACAGATACAGATAAGAATGCACTTACCTACAGTGTCTTGTTTTTATGTTGTTTGATGATTATAATTATTATTACTGCTGAAATGATGTTTGAAGACACCAAAATGAGAGTCACTGGATTCATAATGTTCTTATCTGCAAAGCATGTATTGCACATGGTTGTTTATAAAGTACCAGCATAACATTCATAAACATTAAATAAAATCAATGCTCTGAATATTACCAGTGTCAGCGATAGTCAGTTTAGTTCCATGACCAATGATTATTTCTCCATCTACATCCATGGCACAGTAGTAGGTACCAGTATCAGAGAGTGGGAGGATCCTCATTGTGAAGTTGTAAACACACGTTTGTGTAGCAGCCATTATATAATGAGCATCTTTGTTGCCATCTATAATTCTAGCCCGGGATTCTCCTGAGCTTTGCTTGAACCAATAGACATTGGGTTTTGCACAGTCATCCATGAATCGAATTGTACACTGCAGAGTGATGTTATCACTAAGATGAACAGGTTCTAAATCAGGTTGCTGTAGAATTCTTCTTTTATTTGAATGTTTTCCTTAAAAATTAATCCAAAATATAGCAGTTCATTGTTTTAGACAACAGTCCGAATGAGTTCAAAGCTTTGCAATAATACAACTGAATACTTACTTGCTATCATCAGAAAAGTTCCAGAACTGAAATACAATGCAGTGAGCTTAATCACTCCACAATAATAAGATGCTACATCCTCTTGTGTCATTCGGAAAATGTTTAGATGATAAGTTCCATTCCCCATTGTCACACCGAGGCGTCCATCATCAAAGCCTTTTAGAAAATGGACGTTGTTCCTATAATAGGACATTGCTATGGGCTGTGGCTTCTTTCCTAATAGTTGCTTATACCACACAATGAGATTAAAATCTTTTTTGAGAACATAACATTGTATTGTCACACTGTCTCCAATTTTGGCTTGTTGCACAGGTTTCAGTTGGTTAATAGTTTGGGCTGTGAAGCAACCTGAATATAAAAAGTAAATAAAAAAATGTCATTAAATAAAAGTCTATGCTTTAACAATATATTTGAGAAGAAGATCAACAATGTTTGCCTACCACAAAAAGCAAGGATGATTGCACTGACAGCATGCATCTTTTCTAAGCATTTGCTCATTTTGAAGAATGAGAGACACAGGCCACCAAAAGGAAAATGTTGTTTGAGTTGATTGGCATATGTTGTCAGGTGGCAGAGTTGCCTTTCATTGGTTAACCAACGGCCCTCTTTTTTTAGGACATGTTTTGACACCATACTTTAAACCCACTGGTGGAAAGTTTGCTATTATATATTTATATATAATTAACATTAAATGTCATTCTAAACCTAAACTAGTCTTGACAAACCACTGTATATATCCTTAGAAAAATTTAAGAATCTAGTTTCCAAGTTTTGATTGAAATGACGTAGTAAAATTACTTTTTTAATGGATTTGTGTAACTTTTTTTTTCACCTCTCAAATAAATTTGCCAAACCTTATGTATGTGCTCTAAAGCATTCAAAATTTACAACAATTTGAGTTGGAAATGTCCCTTTTCAGGTCTATGCTCAAAAAGTGGGACTATCAGTTAACAAGGTACATTTTTAAGATCAATGTCAAATTCTAACATTTATTTTAAATAAATCAAATAGGAAAACAAGAGGTTATAAAAAAAAGGCCAGACATACTTGGAATAAAAGTGACAGACTAACCTAATTTGAATAATTTGAATCTAATCTGAATAATGATATTTTGCTAACTTTGCATTACATATGCATTCTTAATTTTTACATTTAGTTTTGAAGTTATGGTGGCCTGTTTTTGTTCTTTATTGATATGCTACAACAATTAACCTTTAGGAAACTTTGAAAAATAGGCCACTTTGTGTTCCATCCTGTCTTTGAAACCACATCATGTTTCTCTCTTAGTTTCTGGTTCTTGTGGGCATGTACAAGGGTCTCAACAGCTCATTAAATATATATGCATATTTGCCTCTGACCCCATTACAAGACATAAAAGAAGGCAAACAAGGAAAGAAGTCAGAAGTACTGGATGTTATTATTATTATTATGTTCTAAACCCTTCATATTTGACATATTAATTCTTAAATGATTACAAGTTGTGCTTAGTTTGAGTGCATATCAGTTTTAATATTGATCAGGTCCAGTTTTAATAATATCAGTTGAATATTGATTATGGACTATAAGCTGAAACAGCTACTACAGAAACTTTAAAGTAGAAGTGCAATTTTAATAATAATGTTGCAAAATATACTGAAAGCAGGAAAGTACATATTGCAGGGGTAAAGAAGTATCAGGTTAATCAGCTCCAATTACTGATTGCCTTCACCTCAATTAAAGGGTTACTCCAGCCCAAAATGAAAAAAATGTAAAAGCTTCGTTCATCTTCGGAACACAATTTAAGATATTCTGGATGAAAACCGGGAGGCTTGTGACTGTCCCATTGACTGCCAAGAAAATTACACAAGGACCAGAAAAGTATGAAAGACATTGTCACAAAAGTCCATCTGCCATCAGTGGTTCAATTGGAATTTCATGAAGCGACGAGAATACTTTCTGTACGCAAAGAAAACTAAAATAACGACTTTATTCGACAATTCGTCTCCTCCGCGTCACCATAGAGCCATTTTGGAGAGTATCCACTGAACGTAAACTGCGTGTATACTGTTCTACTTGTCTGTGTCAGCCGCACCACACGGATATGTTTTATACGTTTATTTATGCTTTGATTTGAATGAAAACAGCGTATCCATGTGGTGCGGCTGACACAGAACAGCATACGCAGTTTGCGTTCTGTGGATACTCTCCAAAATGGTGCTACGGTGATGCGGAGGAGACGAATTGTTAAATAAAGTTGTTATTTTTGTTTTCTTTGCGTACAAAAAGTATTCTCGTCGCTTCATGAAATTCAGATTGAACCACTGATGGCAGATGGACTATTGTGACGATGTCTTTCATGTTTTTCTGGGCCTTGACAGTGTTATTTACTTGGCAGTCAATGGGACAGTCACAAGCCTCCCAGTTTTCATCCAAAATATCTTAAATTGTGTTCCGAAGACGAACGAAGCTTTTACGGGTTTGGAACGACATGGGGGTAAGTGATTAATGACAAAATTTTCATTTTGGGGTGGAGTAACCCTTTAAGGAGCTAAAAACCTCCATAGTAAAGCATAAGGTTTTATCATTATTAAAAAAAAAAAAAAAGTCATCAACAGCTGTGCTGCAGTTCAAAGCAATATGCGGAGGACAAGAAATAGCTTAGCTTTCTTCAGTGATGTCCGACATTGTCATTTGACATTTAAGGCTGGAGTAGATTGTATCCTTTCTCGTCATTCTTGGCTCAGTCTCTGAACTCTCTCTACTGGCATTGCTTTCAGGGAATTGTAGGGTTGTGTAGTTTGGGTTCAGACTTTCTTGATTCTGTGAGGGGAGAAAAAGGGAAGGCATTTGCTCAATGAATGCAAATACCAACTTTTATCACAGCAACTTTATCTGCTGCGTTCCTGATGCTCAATCAGTTGATCATAGTGGTATCAGCGCTAATGTCATGGGTTAAATTCCCAGGGAGTGCATGAACTGATAAAAAGTGTACTTTGAATGCAATGTAAGTTTTAGATGAAGTGCATGGATGTAAATACTGCAGTGTCAAAATACTAAGAGATTCTGACTTA